TCTCAGAGATCTAATGTGCTCAAAGCCAATGTATCTGAGAGAGGCCACTGGGTTATTAGCCTCTTTGAAATGCGCTGCCACTGGGTTACACTGATCTTGATTCAGCATGCAGCTCATGTATTCTCCTAACCTAGATTTTAGTGCTCTTTGTGTGCTAAATCACATTGGCATTTGATGAGACAAATTGCCTTCCTTGAGGAGCAAATACAGTACCTATTATTTTTATTGTTCTTTTCTGTTTTCAGGTGTGTGTGTATGTACGCTCATATGTTAAACTGAGCGCATGAAGCACACTGATAATTCCCAGGTGGAGGGAAGTATTAGCAGTAGTTGTAGTAGTAGCCGTTTTAGCAAGGATGAGCTTAATATTCCCTGCATTTATCTTAAAGTGAAGGGGAATTTGTACAGTATTTTGGGATTATCTTTAAATGTATGTTTAAGTAGTGGATCAGAGCTCAAACCATGACTGTGTTTTTGTGCAATCTTTTCAAAATCTTTACCTTGAATCTGCAGTCAAACTTATGTGCTTCTTTGTCATAAGTTTGGTTAGAGCAGATTCTCCTGATACAGCTGAATTGTCTGATAGGGAGGCTTTTTCTCAGGTAGAGTTGATATAAAGATTGCCCATGTAAGCAAGACCATTCAGCAAGTCAGTCACTAATGTCCTACCATCACATATTTATAGAAAAGAAAATGTATTTATTAATGCAATAGATGTTTTTTTGCCCCCTTTTGGGGATTTTTTTTACTCACTGAGATTTGTTTAAGCTAATTTTTAGGAGGGTGTTTTCAACTGTTTTCTGTACATGTACAGTTGCATGCAAAAGTTTGGGCTCCCCTGGTCAAAACTTTGTTCACTGTGAGTAGTTAAGTAAGGAGAAGATGAACTGATCTCCAAAAGGCAATACTTTAAAGATGAAACATTTCTTAAATATTTTAAGCAATCACAGCTTCTAAATGCTTTTGGTATCCAGCTAAGAGTCTTTCAATTCTTTGGGGGATTTTCACCCATTCTTCCTGCAAAAGTCTTCTAGTTCTGTGAGACTCTTGGGCTGTCTTGCATGCACTGCTCTTTTAAGGTCTATCCACAGATTTTTAATGATGTTTAATTATGTTTAGGTCGGGGGACTGTGAGGGCCATGGGAAAACCTTTAGCTTGCTCCTCTTGAGGTAGTTCATTGTGGATTTCAAGGTGTGTTTAGGATCATTGTTCTGTTGTAGAAGCCATCCTCTCTTCATCTTCAGCTTTTGTGATGTCTCTAGAATTTGCTGGAATTTAACTGAGTCCATTCTTCCCTATACCTGTGAAATGTTCCCTGTGCCACTGGCTGCAACACAAGCACAAAGCATGATCAAACTACCTTTGTGTTTTATAGTCAGACAGGGGTTCTTCTTATGAAATTCTGCACCCTATTTTTTCCAAACATACCTCTGCTCCAAAAAGTTCTATTTCAACTTCATCTTTCCACAGGACCAAAAAAAAGTATCAGGCTTGTTTAGATGTTCCTTTGCAGACTTCTGACACTGAATCTTGTGGCGAGGACACAGGAAAGGTTTTCTTCTGATGACTCCTCCATGCAGGTCATATTTGTACAGGTGTCGCTGCACAGTAGAACAGTGCACCACCACTCCAGAGTCTGATAAATTTTCCTGCAGGTCTTTTGCAGTTCAATGGGGGTTTTGATTTGCCTCTCAGAATTCTACGAGCAGCTCTCTGGGAAAGTTTTCTTGGTCTTCAAGACCTCAGCATGACCTCCACAAATCCTGTTAACTGCCATTTCTTAATTACATTACTAACTGTGGAAACAGTTTCCTGAAAAGACTTTGCTTTCTTCTTATAGTCTTCACCTGCTTTGTAGGCATCAATTATTTTAGTTTTCAATGTGCTAGGCAGCTGTTTAGAGGAGCAATAATGCCTAGAAAATATTGCAGTATTATTTACAGGCCATATCCCCTTGTCCTATTCCACCTGTACATATCTAAGAATCTATTTGCCATGTTTCCATAAAACTCCTTCCCATTCATGTTTTCAAGATATTAGTCTCCCAGAAAACCAAAACTAACTAAAATATGGACTTGAAATTAGTTACGTTTTCTCAGATGCAAAACATGTATTACCAAAGAAATGTAATCCTGAATCACAATGAGGTTGAGAGTGTTTGGCATGCAAAACAACAGCTCTCAGCTTGGATCAGGAAACTGTGTTACAGTTGGGATGTTAGATGAAAAAGGTGAGGAAGAACAAATAGAGACAGATGAGTGGTGGTACAGTGTGTGCGGTGGTGGGGTGGAAGGGCGGAGGGGTGCAGCAGTAGCGGGAGGAAGGTCGGGTCACCTCATTACTCTGATGGCTTTCACATTATTCCAGTGTCACAACCATGCTGGAAAATCAGATGCTGCATCATTCACCTTGGACTCACTGATCATCTCGATTCATCAACAGCAGGACACACACACACACACACACACACACACACACACACACAACACACACACACGGCCCATTTATTTTAATTATCATCACGTTGCTTGTATTATATAGTATCAACAGCCTCATGTTTTGTTTCACCTCATTTACTGCATGTGACCTGAATGCACGTACATAAAAGACAGACAACACCGACAGAAATGCTAATAAAATATAATAGAACTTCTATTACTGTTAGCACTGATAATTATTTTATTAATGTCCAGTATAAATGCTGAAAGATAATTTATGAGGTTGTTTTTGCACAGTGAATTTCAATGACAAACAGCAGGGTCAAATTATATGATAATTCCTCCTCGGCATATATTACATCTCTGAAATCCCATCCAATACTTCTGTCTGTATTAAGGTAATTAATGCAAAGGAGTGCCCATGTTTTGCGGCCCTTGTGCGTTGACAACAGCTCCTCCTGATATTTGTGTCTGTCTGTTCAATGACTCCTCTAAAGAAAGAGATGCATTCAGCAATGACCGCCTCCCACGCAGCTGGCAGGAATCAAATTATGGCCTGCCAGCTCTCTGCTGCTTTGGCAGTGAATTAATTGTTCTTCTGCTATGAAAAATCACATGCTGAGGAGACAATTGTTCTTTCTGATGCTGTGAATTTGTTTACGGCTGTAGTTTGAAATGGCCCTCACCTTTGTGAACAAAAGAGCCGTGCTGGGGTCAAATTTCAATGAGCTCAGTATTGAAAACAATGCAGGTTACAGATTGTTAGGTTGTCTTAAAACTTGTTCTACCAAATCCTTGTTCACAGTAATATTGCATATGTTAGGCAGAAGTTCCAGGGGTTTCATTTATCAAAGCATGCACAGAACAAGTTGTTGTGTGTGTATGTACAAGAAAATGCATGTTTATCATCACACAAACTCACGCAATGAACAGTGATAAATCACCTGTTTTCCATCCATCTGCTTGTGCAAGTACAGGCTCATACACATGCAGATATGCATGGGTGGCTTAGGAGACAATGGGCCCCTGGGCACAGACATGCAGGAGGCCCCATCACCTCTCCTCCACAGGAGCAAGATACACAGACTTAAAAGCTGTTCAGCCACCTTTTCTATTCCATCTCTTTTTATTTATTTATTTTTTGTCTGAGCACAGAGAAGTGGTGGAAGTGAAATGTTCTTACATACCCCATGGGTGGGGTTAACTGTAACAGGTAGAGTGTTAGTTGTAACACAATTAACACAATTGTGTTTAAGTTTAACACAATTCCATACAATTATATCTATATACTACAGGTTGATAGTGTTTATGGATCTATCTGTGATACATCTATCCATCACTCATCTAACTACCAATGCCTCATCAATGGAAATATCAACACATTACAGATACATAGTATGTGTGGATATTGTAAAATTTTCTCTTTTTATCTGTGATAGACCGATAGACAGATTTATGTAGAAACCTATCTCTCCATCTGCATCAGGAGAAGGATAGGTAACTATACAGGTATCCGTCCATCTGTTAGTCTGTCATCCATATTCAGTGGTTGGACTGATAGATGAACATAGATTGGGTAACCTAGATCCACATGTCATAATATGAGTACTTAATGTATGAATACTGAAAAGACTGTTGCATTGTGTGTCAATAAGTTACCTGACAATTAGATATACAAAGTATCTCTCATTTAATTAAGGACGAGTTTAAACTGAACAAAAGTTATGCTGTAGGTGGTTTTGTTTAACACCACGTTACAACTAACCTCACTGTGTAACTTCTAACAAGCCTAGCTGACACCTGCTGGGAGGGCTCCATGTCATTGGTCCGACAGCCCATTAGTCCGATTTCCCGATACTTGATTATACTAGGCTATACTGTATTTTTGTACAATAGAGGATCAGCAAACGCAACAAAAGTAGGTTACTGGTCGAGATACAAGTGCCATAGAGAGAAGAAAATGAAACACCATAACCTCCTGTTATTAACTCTGGGGTCCGGGTTGTGTGGGGAGCTCTCCGCGGTGCTGAACGGCTCCTGGTGGGTGTATTTCTGCCTTGATGGTGCGCCGCAACCGGCTTTGGGTCAGCTGGGAGAGGCGAAGCAGGCTCACGGCTTATGTGTTTGCCCCTTTCTTTTTCATTTTAACCCACATGTAACCCAGGTTATCAGACATTAAATATTACAGTGTAATCCAAAAATGTCAGTTAAAAATGATAATGGTAAAACTCATATTTTCCATGCAGAAATAGATTAGAAATGGATTAAAAAAAAGACAAACTAGTGCATTAATAAATTAATTCATTCTAAAAAAGGTTAAAATCTCTAATCTAAAAATGTTTTATTTAATTTCATTGGAGGTGAAAGTGCTTAATGTGTTCAGTTTGTGATGTTTGTAAAGATTCAGGTGACATGGGAGGAGGATAGCGCTGAACTCGGCGAGTTCAGGTGATCTGTGCGTGATACAGGGCTGATATTCCTCACCAGCCAATCAGAGCCCAGCTCGCTCCGTGTCAAGCTCACTTGCATTTCCGATTAACTCTTTCTGCTGCGCGAGCGGATCAGACACAGACGCATCTTGGATTGCTCTGAGGATTTACATGTTGGATTATACTGGAGAAATTGATATTTTACTTTTTAGCTGGAGAGGTTGAGTGGATAAAGTTTCCCTTTTTGGCCGTTCGTCGAATTAAGTGGAGACATCGTGTCGCCGTCGAGCTGAGGAGAAAACGTGAGTGTTAGCTAACTTGTTGCCGCTGTGTTTGCTAACAGCAGTCATATTAGCTGTTTAAAGTCGAGCAAGAGCTATTGCTTTGTGAAGTTAGATATCTAAAAACGCTATTTACTCTGTCCTCATGTCACCTGTCTCTGCAAAGTTGACAAAAACCTGGAGTTTGTGAGTCGTGCTCCTTTACAAGTTGGAGTGTGTGCCTATGACAGAACTTTTCTGGTGAGTGAATTTTATTGATAATTTTGTGAGTGAATTAGTTGGTACCGACCAGTTGTTTACTGTTAAATAATTGCGAAAATGCTAATTTGAGCTTGCATTATTTCTGTACATGCCGTGTGTAAGGCCATGCGCTGTAAATCCCCCCCCCGCCGTGTTTTCTTTTTGTTTTTTTTTTAATACCGCGGTGGCAGTGAGAGAGTGAGAGTAATATTGTGCGGTCGGAGCAACTAATTCATGCAGAAATGTTTGTCAGAAAAATATTTTAATGTTATTTCTGATCAGTTGTCATGTATATATAGTTGATTTAATGAACATTAATGAGAAGCAGAGTAAGATTCATCCATAATTTAAGCCGTTTAAGACTCTAGATGTGTGTTAATGTTTAAAGGGCAAATGCGTAATTTTTCTTTTGGCCTATTGCAGGCCGGGTCTATTTCCTTGTCCTTGTTTAAGCTAGATTGGTGTGTTTTCAAGAGTGTGGACTTCTTCTGCTGCTTCTCTGCGCTGCAACAGTGGTAGTAGAGTTCAGCAGTCGTGGCGAGCCAAGCTTATTGATGAGACAATTCTGAGATATCTGAGCTGTTGTATCCATCGTCATTCTGGTAGGACTGATTTTTCCCATGACACTGAGGGATTTTGGTTCTTGCAGACTTTGTTGTTAAAGGACATTAAGAGAGAAACTGTTCGTGCTTTAAAGGAGCATACTGTAATTTTATTGTGTTGAATTTGTATTTGATTTCATTGTTTGTTGTAAATTGATATTCAACTTTATTCAACGTTAAGAAATTTAAAAACTCATTGTGTTGACAATCTTAAAGCATAGCTTAACTGTAGGGTTAAAATTAGCATAGGATAAACTTAAAATAGATCTTTAACACATTAAGAACTAAAAGTCACTAACAATAATAGGTTTTGTTTTTTTTGTTTTTTTTGTTTTAGGTCACAGTGTGAATAACATTGTTGAAGAAAGGGAAAGACCTCATTGTTTATTGTGACAAATGTTTATTTATTATTTGTTACACAAATAATTAATACAGTAACGTGTTTTTAAACTTACCTGTTTGTGTGATTTTACTCTTGCTACTTCATGCATATTACTAAACACTCCCTCCTCCCGTATCGAACCTAGAACCTGATAACTGGTCCATGTGATAGTGAAGTGATACACTGATACCGTTTCTGTACCACCCAGTGTCTACCCTACTGAGCTAGAACTGAGATTGGTTACACACACCATGATCTTTTCCTAACCCTAACCAAGTGGCTTTTGAGCCTAAACCTAACCAGTCCTTAACCACAGGGCATCATGATGATTTTGGAACAACGGGACTTCGGAACAATGGGTTTAATATGGTTGGAACAATGGGATGTCGGAACAATGGGCTGTCGGACCAATGGGCAGGTCCCGCTGGGAGTTGGTTACATATTTCAAAATGGTGCTATGTTTTAGGCAACAAGACAGTTATTAAGATGATAGATGGTTGGATTTGGTGACTTACACAGAGACAGCTCAGTAATCGAAAAACAAGTATGACAAAAAATTCATTTATGTCAGCCGAAAACACTGTTACTGAACTACTGAATGCTGGAAGTATGAAAGGATCAACCCTGTGTAAACACTTAAAAAGTCCATGTTACAATTTACCCCGCGTTAGGAGGTTCCACGCACTCTCCTGGTTGGTTTGAGTCTCTTTGTGGCTGCTTTCCATCTCTTTTGTAGTCAATTTGAGTCTGTTTGTGGTTGCTTTGCCTCTTTTTAAAGTCATCTGTGTCTTTCTGTAGTCATTTTGAATCTCTTTGTAGTTCCTTTCTATCTCTTTGAAGCCACTTTGTGACTTGTTGTGGTTACTTTGTTTCTCTTTGGTCAGTTTGGGTCTTTTTGCTGTTGCTTTGTGTTTCTTTGGGGTAATTTTGTGTCTTTTTGTAGTCATTTTGAATCTCTTTGTGGTTGCTATGCCTCTTGCTGTTGCTACCTAGTACCTCTTTGTAGTAATTTTGTGTGTTTTTAGTTGCTTTCCATCTCTTTGAAGTCATTTGTTCTCTGTTATTTTCAGGGTCTTCAAAGTTGCCCTCCATTGCTCTGCAGTCATTTTGCAACTCTTCATGGATACTTCTTTTCTCTTTGTGATCATTTTTAATGTCTTTGTTGTTGCTTTGCCTCTTTCCATAGTTGCCTTGCATCTCTTTAGTTACTTTGTGATTGTTTTTCCCCGTTTCTTGGTCATTGTGAGTATCTTAGTGTCTCTTTGCAGCTGTTTTGGATGGCTTTGTTGTTTTTTTGTGTCGTTTTATGTTTCCTTGTGGCCATTTTGTGGACAGTGGGGCACTTAGGGGCCCCTTTGGCTGCGATTCATTAGTATTTCAACATGCCCCTATTGTAGTACTCAGCCTCGTGGTAAATCTCTGCCACTACTACAAGTACTGCTCCGTTTGTCTAAAAAACTTAAGTGAACTTGGTGAGATCAATCTTTGGAGGGCTGAGGGCACAAGTCAACAATGATGGTCACTGCAGAGTTGTATTTTCATCCATAATGCATCCGCCTCTGGTGTGGCTCAAACAACAGGTGAAAAACAAAGAGACCTACCCCACTTCACAAGAACGTGAAATTGTGAAAATTTGACTGCCTGCAGTAAGACAACCCAATCACCAGACAAATGTATTGTACTTCTCTGTAAACCACGGATATGTTTCATTTGTCAACAATGCTGTGGTGCATATGTGGTTAGGTTTAAGCACAAAAAATATTTGTTATCCTTAGGAAAAGATCATGTTTTGGCTTAGAACACCCACAAAATAGTGGCACATGAATTGGTGGAAAGCAGGGACGGGTTGGAGGCTCGAACACTGCTGAGTCAGTAAAAACACCCAGGATCAGTGGCTTAAACGCCGCTGGGAAACTGAAGCTAACTGCAGGGTGTGTGTTTTTTGGAAAAACGGGACTTCAGAGTTATGGCTGTATGTAAGATAATGGAAAAATGGGCTTTCGGTTTAGTGGAATATGTTTTAGACTAATGCAGAGCAATGGCATGACATTGTCTATTGTTTTGAGAAGGACATTTTCAGTTTAAATTAGCACTCATTACCTAGCCTAAAAAGCTTCAGTACTTAATGTCTATGCAGTGCTTCATGTAACAGTGTTGTATCAGGTTGATGTGTACCCATGTGTGTAGTAGAGGAACAGAGGAGTTAGACTAAAACAAGACCTGAGGATACTCTCACTGCTTTCTATCTTCTCTGCTCCAACATGATTTATTATGTGTTGTTAGTGAATCAGGAGCTGTGCAGTCTTAATGGTGGCTTGAACACAACACAGCCACCAGACTGATTCTATTCATGCCCCAGTGCATTGTGGTGTATCTTTTATAGACCTGTGGGTGAGTCTGTGCCCTGTTGTCACACACACAGCCATCATTCTAAGAAAGAAAGAAAGAAAAATTGACTATGATTCAATGAGTTATTGATTCTGCATCCCTGGTTTGATTGAATGTGCGAGTGTCCTTTGCTCTCTGTGGCAAAACACATCGAGCGGTCCTAATCAGCAAGTCATGAAAAGCATTTTTTTAATTTCAAATTGAAATGCTGATAGTAAATAGTAGAGACCCAGATTAGATCGCCTCAGATGGAGGGATATACTGACAACATAACAAACAAAACAAAAATGTCATGCTCCCGAGAGAGAAATACAGTTTGGCTTTTGTAAAGCAATCTGTTATCAGTTCGTCATCAGACTTCTTTCAAGCATTCTGAAGTGCAAAGCTGCAGTTACATTATGTGTAAAACAAACAGGAACATAAATAATGGCATATAACTGATGCATATGCCCAAAAATGTTAAAAATAATTAATTGAAAAACATTGGTGGGAGAAAAACACACCTGGATGGTGTTTCAGCTGGGAAATGTGTTTGAGCAGAGACTTCAATATCTTCATACCTCTCTTAAACAAAACAAACTGACATAAGGAAATATTCTTATCTATTTTCATTATTAAATAAGCAAACTTGATGATTTGGCACAGTCGATCCCAATATCTTATGTCAGCTCCATTAAATTTGTACTCAATTTACATCTGTTTTGCAAGGGTTAGTGGTACTTTTTGTGGTTGGTGTTGGGCGGTGGTGGCATATGCCTGCGAGTCACTCATCTGGCTGAGCAAATCAACTCATTAGTCTGTAAACTCTCCTGATGACTTCTAGGTAGCTAGCTGCTAGCTAGCCAGATTTATGTTTTCAATTGTAAACATCAGTAAACCGAGGAAAATATGGAGAAAAATTAGGCATCAGCTGAGCTAGCATCTTGCTAGCCATTGTTTAGACCTTGGAAATAACCTGGAACGTGCTGCTACATATTTTTAATGGGATATCATAAAACTTGGACAGAGCCATTCAACCAGGAGGCTTTTTTCTATATGCTGATCTGACTGAGCAGAGGACTCTGGGAGAGAAGAAGAGGAGGCGTGTGCTTTGCAGTAAATAGGGACTGGTAAGATGGTGGGAATGAGAGATGCTGTCCTGTTCCTGCTGTGGATCACCGCTCTTCGGTGTTTAGAGGTGACTGCAATGTGGCGCTGCCCATATTTGGGAGGAGAATAAAGACGGGTGTAACGGTGGGAATGAGAGGTGCTGTCCTGTTCCTGCTTATGATTACTGCATTTGTTCAGAGACAGCTGCAGTGCGGCGCTGCCATGTTCGGCTATGGCGACCATGCAGATACAGTATGTCAGGATGTGTGAACATCATTCCACAACCAGAAACCATGGATTACCAGAACCATCCCGAAACATGGACAATTATAAAGCAGCAGCCAACAATGCAAGAATATGCAAAAAAAGACTAAATTAGAGTGCACAAGTGAAAGGAGCTGATGGGCTCACATCTCACTGGAGCTGTACCTTGTATCAATTCATGTGACAAATAAATCATTCACTCACTGATTGATAAAATAGAAAAATACAACCGTACACCAATCCAATTTTTTTCTCTTTTCCTGAAATAAGACTAACGTTAACTAACATTAGCTTGTTAACTCATCATAAAACACACTTAATTTAAACTCAATAGAAACAAAATAAAAATCAACTAAACTGTCTTAAGGCTGAGGCAAACTTTTTGCAATGTCTGTGGACAGCAGGGGTCACACAGACGCACATGCAGTTCCAATCATAGTGCCATTTCTTCACTGTTCTAGGAAACGCAAATTCGCCAACTATATGAGGGATGAATTTTTCTATAACTTCATGAAGGGATAAAGAAACGCATAATTAAGGGCAAAACCCTTTGAGTGACACTGACAGCCTGTTTGCTGGTAGTGACCTAGGTTTCACTGTCAGATTGACCTCTCGCTCCTCCACAATGCCACCCTCTCACCCAAATATGGTCACTCATGGCTCCAAAAAAATAACATGGCAACAGCTGAAATGTCGAACTTGAGGCTTCAAAACGGGAGCCCAAAAACCAATGGGTGACGTCATGGTAGCTATGTCCATTATTTTTATCGTCTGTGGTTAGGACATGTCTGGTGCTCTCCTAGGTATTGATAATATCTGATATTTGACATTTCCTAACTTAAACAAAATAATAAAACAGTTTTACTTCTAGTCCAAAAAAGAAGACCAAGAATGCACCACTCCGAGACTTTTTAGCCAGTTAGAACCAATTTTTGACTCCTCCTTAGAATTAGCCATTTATATCTACATAGGGAGTGGGTCCTCATTTATAGAGACTGCCATGTACACTGCCATGTTTATACAAAGGCCCATAACAGAAAAACCAAACACTGGCTCCAAATAGGGCCATTTGTGTTTTCACATCGGCCACTGCAGTGTAGAGCAGACTCAGAAAAATACTGATTCATGAAACTGCTTAACTCAGGTGACAGACAAAATGCCGAACTTGAGGCTTCAAAATGGGAACCCACATACCAGTTGACCTAAGGCTAGCCCATGCCCCCCTCCACTCACTCGGACAAAATATCAATATTCAGTGACCAGTGCTATGGCAGGGGTCACAGTACACGGCATTTCGCAGGAGGCAATTGATG